GTCTTTAGGGAGAGGACTTGTGGCCCCAAGGCTGCTTTTCTGGCCTCTTCATCGGCCATTCGGTTCCCTCTAGCCACTGGGTCATTTCCCTTCTGGTGTCCGGGGCAGTGTATAATGCTCAATCTTCGTGGCAGAGAAAGAGCCTGCAAGAGCTCTAGGATCTCAGTCTTATTTTTAATGTCTTTTCCTGCTGAAGTCAAAAGTCCCCGTCTCCGATAAATTTCTCCATGTACATGGGCTCTAGCGAAGGCATAGTAGCTGTCTGTATAGATATTGACTCTACGGCCTTCAGCCATTTTGAGTGCTTGGGTCAGGGCAATCAGCTCTGCTCTCTGGGCTGAGGTTCCTGGCGGCAAGGCACTGGCCCATATTGTAGTCTGCCTATCCACCACTGCCGCCCCTGCCTTTCGTATATCGTCTTGCAGAAAACTGCTCCCATCCATGAACCAGTGTGCTTGGCTCCTTGTAGCGGTTGATCCATCAAGTCTTCTCGGGCTCCGCAGGTCTTGGCCAGGATCAGGCGGCAGTCATGGGGCAGAGCAGTTTCTGCATCCAAATCCGGAAGGAGGGTGGCCGGGTTTAAAGATGTTGCTGCCCCAAATCGCAGTCTGTCTGGGTTGAGGAGCAGAGCCTGATAATGTGTCATTTGTGCATTCAAAAGCCATCGATTGGGGGGTTGTCGGACCACTGCCTCAGTAGCATGAGGGGCTATCACCGTGAGTGGCTGACCCAGAGTCAATCTGTCTGCGTCCTTGGTCAGAACCACCACAGCAGCCACCATCCAGAGGCAGGGGGGCCAGCCCATGGCCACATTGTCCAATTTCTTACAGAAGTATTCAAAGGGGGTGCTAGCCTTAGTCAGAGGATACAGTGGGGCTGCCAGCTCCACGAAACCCGGGATCCAGAGACGGCAGAACCCCGGCTGTCCAGGAATTCCCGAACTTCCCGGGAGCTCTTGGGTGGTGGAATCAGGGCCACAGCTTGCTTACGGCTTTCTGTTAGCCATCTCTGGCCACCCTGGAGCCGGTATCCTAAGTAGGTGACCTGCTCCCTTGAGCTTTCTTTGCTGAAGCTCTGTACCCCAATTCCCCCAGCTTTTGCAGTAAGGCCCCGGTACCTTGGAGGCAGTCTTTTTTAGATTCCGCTGCCAGGAGGAGGTCATCTACGTATTGAAGCAGGATCAGGTTAGGGTTATGGATCCGGAAGTCTGCTAGGTCTTGGTGTAGGGCCTCATCGAAGAGGGTTGGTGAGTTCTTGAACCCCTGGGGGAACCGTGTCCAAGTGAGCTGGCCAGAAAACCCAGTCTCGGGGTCCTTCCATTCAAACTTGAACATGGGCTGGCTCTGGGGCCTCAGTCTGGGGCAAAAGAATGCATCCTTAAGATCTAGTACCTTGTACCAGATGTGGCTCGGAGGCAACATGCTCAGCAAGTTATAAGGATTGGGCACTGTCGATGGATGTCCTCAGTTCTCCGGTTGACCTCCCACAGGTCTTGAATCGGCCTGTACTCTCCCGTACCTGGTTTCTTTATGGGGAGAAGGGGGGTATTCCAAGGGCTGTGACAGGGCCTAAGGATGCCTTGTTGTAATAGTCTATTAATGTGTGGCCTGATTCCTTCCCGGGCCTCTTGGCTCAAAGGATATTGTTTAATGGCCACTGGAGTGGCTGAGGGCTTGAGGATGATAATTAAAAGGAGGCTGTTTTTTAGCCAACCCCATGCCTGCTGTTTCTGCCCAGGCTTGGGGATATTTTTCTAACCAGCTAGACTCCATGGTTGGCGAGGGGGGTGAGGGATCCTCTAGAAGTCTATATTCATCCTCGAGCCTTAAGGTCAGTACCTGGAGGGGCTGTCCCCCCTCTCCTGTGATGGTGGCCCCCTTCTGATGGAAGTGAATGTAGGCTCCTACTTTAGAGAGGAGGTCTCTCCCTAATAAGGGGTAAGGACATTCGGGCACCAGCAAGAAGGAGTGAGTCACGTGTCCAGTGCTCACATGGACCTTACGTTCAGTTGTCCATCGGTGTAGCTTTCCTCCTGTGGCACCCAGGACCCAGGCAGTCTGGGTGCTCAGGGGTCCCTGGGTCTGAGTCAGGACTGAGTGCTGAGCTCCCGTGTCTACCAAGAAAGTTATGGGTTGCCCCCCAACGTTAAGAGTTACCCGGGGCTCAGGGGGAGGCACCTGGCCCTGACTGGCCTAATCTCCCTTTTCCAGATAGAGAATAAGGGTGGGCTTCTGCCTTGGATTCTTCGGGCAATGTTTGACCCAATGTCCTTTTTCCTTGCAATAAGCACACTGGTCTTTCTCCACTCTTGTTCCCCTTTTGTCTCCCAGGTTCCCTGTCTGACCTGGTCTATGTTCTGATCCTTTGTAGGCTTCCATCAAACGCTCTAGAAACCCTGCGGGCGTTTCTTCCAAGCCCTGAACTACCGCACGTACCTTGGCCAAATTTGTGGGGCGCCTTCCTGCCCCTTTGAGACCCGCCAACAGAGTCTGGCGATAAAGACGGTGACGCTCCCTACCGGCTGCTGTGTTGATGTCCCAATCTGTCGGTCTGATCAAGGGAAAGACTTTATCTATTTCATTTGGGAGCTGGGTGGGTCTGCCATCTGGCCCCTGA